CTAGTTGTTTTTTTGGGAGGGTCCAAATCATTTTAGGGCAAGCTACATGACCACTGAACGTTAAACCAAAAACATCCCTAACCCTCTCTAATATATGAACAAACAGAAGCCACATACGATGAGCCTTAACCTGTAGGACACGCATATGCATTCATGGGGCATGCTTGTTGTATGTTAATGTTAAGTTTGTATATCTAACAGGTATGTGGATAAGGATCCCGGGATTCAGGTCCACACGAGTGGCCATCGTTTTAAGCTAAGAGAGAAGGTGCTCCCCCCAACCAGAAACCCCAGACCCAAAACCATAAACCCTAAACCTAGAGCCCCAGGTACCTCAGTCCTAAACCCTAAGTCGTAAACCCGAAGACCCAAACCCTGATCCCCAAACCCTAAACCCTTCCTGCGGATTAACCTCCAACGGGGTTTTGACTGGGTTTTTTCAGCTGGGAAGAAGGTTTTGAAGGTGCTTTCTTTGTTGCTTTTCACGGTCTGAGGACATGGTCCCTTTGTGTACCTCATAATAGTCACATAGTATGGTATGATGGTCCCTTGCTATCTGGTAAGGGTCCGTGATTATCTTAGAACAGTCCCTTTTGTGTGGCCCACAGTTGTCCCACAGCATTCTGTGAGGGTTCCTTCTTATCTCATAACGGTCCTTTGTATCTCATAGTGGTACCGCAGTATGGTATGATGGTCCATTAGTACCTTTATCATCGTCCATTAGTATCTTTTAGTTGTCCTTTTGTGTATCTCATAATGGTCCCATCGTATGGTAGGATGGTCCCCTAGTGTCTCACGCTAGTCCCACAGTGCAGCGCCATGGTCCCTTTGTGTGTTATACTGGGACCTTGGTATCTTAGAACGGTCCTTTGGTGCATCTCAAACCATCCCATAGCATAGTACGTGGGATGGTCCCTTACTATCTTACAGTGGTCCTCAACATGTCATAATAGTCCCTTGGTTAGCTCATAATAGTCCCATAGTATGGTATGATAGTCCCTTCTTATCTTATAACTTATAACGTTCAAACCAAATGCATCATCCCCCCAAGCCCTCCCCACTCCGCCATCCCTACACCCTGAAAGCAACAAGCAAACGTATACCCTGAAGCCAACAGGCAAAAACGTTCTGCTGCGCAAAATATGCTCGTCGCGCAGCTTCCAAGCGCGGACGCGGCAACGCAGAAAGCCATGGCACCACCAGTGCGTGACACCCCAGTGAAAAACCTTTATATATCCCCTATAGATCCCGGTGCATCCCTATATCATGCCCCTATATAACCGGCAGTCTAGCCAAGAATCAAATTCCATTGACGAAGCGCGTAGTAGGGCTTTCGTATTCGGAGTCTTCGGCGACTGGAGAATGTAAAGCTGAAGACTCGGCGGGTATGTCCAATCCTTTGGCAAGACCGGTACCTTCAGTATGTGCAGACATGGATCGGGATGTCGTGCGCGGGCTCGAAACCCCTACGTCCAAAACCCACCGTTGCAAGTGAACCCGCCAGCTAAGCCCTAAACTTAAACCCTAAACCTCAGAGCCCTCAACCCTAAACCCAAAGCCCTTAGCCCTAAACCCTAAACCCAAAGCCTTCAACCCTAAACCCAAGCCCTCAACCCTAAAGGCTGAACCCCAAACCCTAAAGCCTAAACCCTAAATTTTGTAGCTAGACCCAAGGCGGTGGGGCCTGGTTCGCCACCCTAACTCCTGGCCTTAGCCTCGGTTGTGGGTTTAGCTACTATTCGGGTTCTATTGGGGGTATATATTGGGTACAAAGGGGTCTATATTGGGGTTTCCCACTCCTAGTATCCCCCTTAATAATGGACAATCAAATGGAAAAGAACATGGAAAATGAAATGGAAACTGGGATTATGTAGGGGTTTATAGGGTTTATAGGGTTTAGATATATATATATATGTATCTTCTATATTATATTGGGGCTATATGGGGATGATGGAAAAGAAAATGGAAACTACTATATTGTAGAATGGAAAAGTTTAGGGCTTAGGGTTTAGGGTTTAGGGCTTAGCGCTTAGGGCTTACGGCGTAGGGTTCAGGGTTTAGGGTTCCTGGTTTAGGGTTTACAGCTTAGGGTTTAGGGTTTAGTGTTCAGGGTTTAGGGTCTAGGGTAGGGTGGGGTCTTTGGGATCAAGGGTGCAGGGCTTCGGGCTGGGGTTTCGGGTTGCTTGGGGCTTGGGGCCTAGGGGGTTGGGTTCAGGTTAGCTTTTTAGGGTTTGGGGTTGAGGATTTAGGGATTAGGGTGTGATTCTACCCCAATAGAGGAAACCAAGTGGAAGCCAACGTGAAATTTGAAGTCTGGGGCTTGCTGTGATATGCGGGGTTAAGGATTTAGTAGTAACGTAGCTATGTTTTGCATATAGCTGGGCAGATATCCAAATGTAACCATAGTCGGGGACTTATTGGAAGATTCTCGGTTGACTGGAAGATGATTAGGAAAGTAGTGCTTAGTGGGGTAGAGGTTCAGAGGATTCGGGAGGTTGAGGGCTTGTGCTGTTACAGTTGGGGGTGTAGGTTTTTGGGTTTAGGGGTTGGGGTGTAGGTAGAGGAGGAAGGGAAAAGAAAAGCTATTGTTTGGGGTTGTTTAATTGGAAGCATGGGTGCTCTGATGGGTGTTTACGTATGCATATAGCCCTAAACGCTAAACTTTGCAAGCCTCATACGTAGAAGTTCTGGGGTTTAGGGGTGGTTCAGGGTGTGAAAAGCACTTCGCTGTTGAGGTGTTTAGGGTTTGAGGGCTTAGAGGTCATGGATATAGGCTTGGAGGCTTGTTGGACGAGTGTGTAGGGTTTGGGACAGTTCAGGGTTCAAAGTGCAAACGACAAATTGGAGCGGTACGGTGCTTCGGTTTTAAGGTGTAGCTTCTCGGTTGGCTTAGAATTTTCGCTTGAAGCCAGACAGTTGAGACGTCAGTACCCTCCTACCTCAGGCCCTAGTCGCATAAGTCATCCTATTTGGAAGTTTCCGAAAATTAGGGATACCTCTTTTGGCCCTTATCACAGGGATTATAGCATTTTAGGGTCTATGTTGGGGCACCCGTATTTATCGGAACTACCATTTCATGTTCCAACTTTCTGAGTCTTTACTGCAGGGGTTTAGGGGTTTCAGTTGGGGTTCGGGGTTCAGGTGTTTAGGGCTCAAGGTTTGGGGTTCAGGGCTTCAGTGTGAAACAAATGGAAGGATTCGTTTTGCGCTGGAATGAGCATGAAATTCACTGTTGGGCTACAGTGAGAAGACCTCTAAGATGTTATCAAGGTGCAGGGCTTCAATTGCAATACCTGGTCAATGTTGTCGGCGTTCGCCAAAACTCTTGTAACTGTTCGTGCAAGACTTCTTCGTGATGGGTCCATATCATCGTTATCCTGTTACTTCTACGCTTTGGGATTGAGACACACTTGTTTGGGCGCTCAAGTTCTAAAACTGCTGCATCTAAGGGTGTGGGGTCGAAGGGTTGGAGGGCTCAGGGCTGACATGCTGGGTTAAGGGTTTAGGGTTCTGGGCTTAGGGCCTAGGGTCAACAACAATACCCAGCGGCACCAGCACAGACATGTCCACCTAAACCCTATATAAGACCAGACCCGTATATCCCCTTTGAAGGTACCCGGGTACCCCTAATTTTGGGTCACCTTTAGCAAGAGTATTCAGATCTGTCTTCTCCTGAGCTTCGGGTACTTGGGTTTCGGTTGGGCCAATCCCCCACCAAGTACTGGGTACCACAGGGGACTATTGTAGGTATATTAAGGCCGTATCAACTCCATATTAAGGAGCTATTGCAATAGGGGGGAGTCACCTAGGACCTTAGGGGGGGTTCGGATGTTGCGTTTTCGGCTTTTAGGGTTTAGTTTTGAGCGATTTCTGGTTTGAGGTTTTCTGGCGAAGGATTGTTCTAAAATAGTCTAGCATATGGACAGTCAAATTAGCCGCAGTGCTATCCTCAGCTGTGAAGCAGACGCAAACACACAGCCTGAGCCTAAACAGGACTCAAGCAATGCAGCATGGTGCATCATGGTGCCAACGTATGTCCCTCATAATTATTTTTGCTGCATATGCGACCCCGAAATCTAGACACTTCCTCAATGTGGTCCCAAACCCATGGTCCACGCAACAGCCCAAATATGTATGGTGCTTCTGCACGCAAGCAAGAGGTAACCTACAACGCAGAAAACACCCAAAGCTGATTTTCGGGAATTCTTCTGTAGGGCGGACTGGGAGACTCCGACCAACCAACTTTTGCGCCCTAAATCCTACGTCTCCAAGGTACTTGCATGCTCTCCGTGTGACGCGCAGTTGAAACTGCCGCGTCAACCGCGGACCTTTAATGCGTGACGCCACTAATTCACACCGCTTCATACTTGCCTGCGTTGCAGGCAGAGCATAGATTGCTTAGCGGCCTGAAGAGGGGTGGAACCTGGTTTCCTTCGCAGCTTCAGTTGAAGACGCACCAGTCAAATGCCCGCTGCGCGTGGCAGGTTCCAAGATTATGGGGCCCTTGTGTTACGTTTATTCTGGCCACGAGGGAGCATGAATTCTGGGTTTGGTATATTTTCAACGGTGATTTCAGGTGGGTAGTTATCAGCTGGTTATCCATACAGGAAGCTCGCATAAGCCTGGTACCACACCCCAAGAACTTAACCCGTTTGCTATATCGGGATAGAGCAGCGCATGGTCATACCCACATGCATTTGACGGCCCGAAACAGTTCTTGATCGATAAGAAATCCAAACACGACCTGATATGTTGGTTGAGGCGTCTTCATGAAAGGCAATGGATGACACCCGGGGTTGTTCAGTATGGCTCGGGGGAAGATTGGCGTCAGCAAAGTTCTAAGCTTGGGAGTATGAGCCTGAATTTGTGCGTGTTTTTGGGTAGAGATCATAGTGCCACTTAAGGGTGTACGTTGGCATGTACTAGGTATAAGGGCGCCAGGATGAAGGCCCGGACTAAGGGCCCAACACGATAAAACATAGCACACCTCCGGCCTGCAGGACATGCTGAACGCAGCACGCGGCAAGGACACCCATTAGGGTCTAGAGTCTAGACTTTTCGAGTTTAGGGTTTTGGGGTTTTTGGGTCTTAGGGTTTAGGGTAGGATTTCTCTGGTACTCCGGGGGGTTTGATTCACCAGTAGTTTCTGTGGCAACCGTACAAGGTCTCCCGGGTTGTAGAAGATTGAGACCCAAGGTATTTCAAAAATCTCCAAGTTCAGAGCCAGTGAAAAACCAAGGACTAACTACTCTATAAGTATGTTTCTGTATGACTAGATTAAACTAGAAAACCTTTTGGATCTTGAGCCCTGAGAGAAGCTATGAGATGCCTTTGAATCTCAGCATGGTCGTTAGTATATATTGGGGTATAATGTAGGGTTACATTGGGGATATAGGGATAATGGAAAAGAAAATGGAAACTACTATTTAGGGTTGAGGTTATAGGTAGTAACTGAAAACAAAATCGAAACTACTGTAATATTTCGGGTTTGGGGTCTAGCTGCATCTCGTGCTAGATTTGTAACCTCTTGCATTTCTGCCTCACGACAAGGGCGTTGTGCAGACAGTGCATAAATGTTCAGCCTATCGTCGGGCATCGGCGTTCCAGTTTTTACCACAAGTGCATAAGGGCATGAGACATACCACCTAGTTCCGCTAAGCCCTAAACCCCAAACCTGCACCACCCCAAGCTACCCTATACACTAAATCCTAAACCCTATAGTAATTTCCATTCTATTTTCCATTCGCCTTATATAACCCCTTATATAACCATATGTAGCGCTGTACAATTTTGCGAACCAACCCTAAATCGTTTCGGCTAGCCAGGCTGCAGTAAATGTTGACTGTCATATGCGACTTTCTCTATAGAGCGGGGCCTCCGAGGCACCCCAGAGGGACCCAAAGGGGCTGATAAAGGTAATAGCGGGTCCCCACATTGGAAAAAAGGCGGCGGGACCAGGGGCGAGTGGATGATTGCTGACGTACAGGTATCCCCCTAAGCCCCAAACCGTTAACCCTCGAAAAGTCCGCTACCCTCCCTCAAAAAAAA